GTTGAAAAAATAGTAGTGCACCCTGGAAAATTTGAATTTCTGGTGCTTCTTTTTCATCTAAACCTTGTTGACTTTATGTTTATGTGACATTCTAAAGCTATTCAAGCAAGTAAAAGTGAGGCTTTTTTTATTCATTTATTAACTATTCTTCACATGAAAAAGTTAGCAAAAAATCTAAAATTGTTGTGCAAAGTGCAAAAACATCTTTTTGTTGTTTGTCAAGACACAAATTGTCAACTCGCCGGCAACTGTATGTCAAAAGGAGCCAAAGGAGCCCGTGAAAGAATTGCAAGAATTTTTGGAACAAAATCTTATATCTGTCTTACTTTGGTAAATGATAAAACTCTTTAATAGCAGTGCACTCTCTAATAGTATTGCGGTCCAGGAGGGGGTTGAAAAAATAGTAGTGCGCACTACTATTAGAGAGAATACGGTATAAGCTCCTTTCTTATACTCGTATAGCATTTTGTTGTAGGAAATCTTCTTACCAACCTTACACAGCTCACAGTGATCAGCAAAGATATCGGGTATCAAAGAAATCAGTAAAAGTAAAAATAGAAAAAAGTTAGGGAAAGAATACTTGGTCATTGGAAAATGAAAAAAAAAATGGAAAAGCAAATCAAAAGCACTTTTGGCAATTAGTAGGGGATTTACGCCATCATTGCAGGGAAAGAGAGGGAGGGAAATGGGAAGTGTTTTCAATTTACTGAATACTATTAGGTTGGCAAAAAGAAATGAGCGTCGTGTTTGTTGATTTGTATTTTATTCACAGTAAAAGATTTTTTAAAATAGTTTATTCTATTGGAAAGAGCGTGTTCTTGCGCATCGTTTGATATATAAGTTTTCTATGTTTACTTTGTTTTTTTACAAGAAAGAGTGTTTAGAAAATGTCGGACCAAAAATTTCGCTTGCGGGCCCTGCTTGTGGTATGAATTTAAGCAAGGCAAATCGGCTGCTGAAGCTCATCGCGCTCTATCTCAAGTGTTTGACGAAGATGTTCTATCTGAAAGTCAGTGTAAACGATGGTTCCAGCGCTTCCGAGACGGCGACGAAAGCTTGGAAGACCAAAAACACGGGAGTCGACCTCAAGTCATCGATAACGACGCATTGAAGGAAGCCATTGAGTCGGATCCACGCCAAACCACTCGCGACCTGGCAGAACAGTTCGGCTGCACTCATGCCACCATTGAGAACCATCTGCATGGGATGGGCAAGACGAATAGATGCGGAAAATGGGTACCGCATAAGCTATCCGACGCAAACAAGGCGACACGCATCGCAATCGCCGGAATTCTCGCTCACCGCGCCAAGAACAGTGGGTTTTTCGACTCCATTGTTACGTCGGATGAGAAGTGGATCCAATACGACAACGCAGCAAGAAAGCGGCAGTGGTTGGACCCCGGCGAAGCTCCAAAACCGACTCCAAAACCGGACATCCACGGAAAAAAGGTGATGCTTTGTGTTTGGTGGAACAGTAAAGGCCTGGTGTACTTTGAGGTTCTGAATTCGGGTCAAACAGTTACGACGAACCTCTACCAAGGCCAATTGGACCGCTTGGACCAGGCGCTGCGACGTCAAGGTGTGGATACGGCGTCGACAAAATTCCTTCTCGACAACGCTCGGCCGCATGTCGCAAAAACCACCCAGCAGAAAATTGAAGAAATGGGCTGGGAAGTCCTGCCTCATCCGCCATACAGCCCAGACTTGGCGCCTTCCGACTACCATCTGTTCCGATCAATGCACCACTCCTTGGCCGAGAAAAAGTTCAAGAACGGCGACGAGGTCCAAATTTGGGTGTCCAACTTCTTCGAGTCGCAGCCGGTCGAGTTCTTCAAGAAGGGCATCCATTCTCTGCGTGAACGTTGGCGACAAGTCATTGATGCAGATGGCGAATACCTTTTGGATTAATGTATTGTTATCTTGTTTTTATAATAAAATAAACTTTTAACGAAAACGCGCATTTCTTTTTTGCCAACCTAATAAATGCTGAATACTAAATGCAACGGGCATACTCACATTTAGTGTAGCTCAATGACTGTAAGCTGTCAAGAATTTTAAGCGTTGAAGGTTTGACCTCCTGCTGAATTGGATGATCCTTGAATTGGATCTTTATATAAAAACTTACAATAAATGGTTCTAAGTATCCAAAGTTTCAATCTTTTTTATGTCATCCGGTTTTAATTAAGTCACCCGATTCTTTTTAACCCATCGAAACTTCTGCAGCGAATAATCGCTGCAACAAAAACTCAGGAACGGACCGCTGCAGCGACTATTCGCTGAAGCGCTAATTGAGCTATTTTCATTCAATTAATTGGTTTTTTTTGCTGTTTTTCAGCATTACATGTATATTCCAATTGTAGCAGATCTACAAGTTACATGGGCAAAAAAGATGTTTCATATTTACCCGGAATCAATGCAGTCTCTGGTTTTGCATTGAAATGTTCCATAATAGCTCTAATCTTATAAAGCCAATCTCCTGCAGGATCCAGTTCATTATCACAAAAACGCAGGTTTCGAAGAATAGATTCAAATTTTGTTCTTGACATAATGTGGGACATGTGGGAAAATCCTCCTAATCCAGGCCTGCTACTCCAGTAGTCACGAATCCTCGGTAATTTGACGATTCCCATTTGAAGATACAGAGCCAGGAAGAACTTGAAAGATTTTGCATCGAAATCCTGCCAGTTTGTTTTCCTTTTTCCATGTTTATTAGATTCGCCTACTAAAATATTGTGGTCGATAAAATAAGAACAATAATCGATAGAATCTTGAAAAGTACTGAAGTCAAATCCAAGTCGTTCTTCATCAAAAATAAATGGTGTAGGAGACTCTCTTACATCTTTCCAACCATAAATAAACTGCTTCGGAGTCAAAAATGTCAAAAAAAGGCTTGGTCCGTAGACGAAAAAAAGAAAAAACGCTGCGGTTTCGAATGGGTTAGGTAACCGTAATCGTAGTCGGAGTCACCCGATTCACCCAGTAATTGAAGAGAGTCAGGTTTTAGGTCGATTTTTGAAAATCAAACACTTTTCAGGGACGGCACAAATATGGACTTCTCGAATTGGTCGGCGCTGCAACTCGGTTATATCACAAGCAGTGGAAATGGAGGGTGTGGAAAGATTTCTGATTTCTCTGCTTCGATTGGTTGGCTGAACAATTTTTTGGCAAGACATTTTTCGACCCATTGTCTCACAACTGCATGCCAAAAAAGTTTCACAACTGCACAACTGCATGCATGCAAAACGAGCGAGTACATCCTTTACATGGAGGAGATGCGCAAGAAGAACAATTACGCATCGATTTTTGACGAGACCGGAGTTTTCTTTGACCAGTCGAACAGTTTGACAATCGCCAACAAAGGATCCAAAGGAATGGCAGTTCTCTCAACAGGATACGACAAAATGTGAATCACTGTCATGTTAACGGCTCGAGAAGACGGACTCCAATGCAAGCCATTCGTTTTGCTAAACCGAGTTCATCCTGATACGAAGATCATCGCCAAGTTTCAAAACAAACTCGAGCTGCACTGGAGAGGATCGACTTGGATGAAAGTTGGTTCGATTGAGACCTACCATCGAAAAATTCTTGGTGCTCTGCTTTTCAGAACAGCCGGTTTTCCCATTTCTTGAACCATCACAACGAAAAAAAAGGAAAACTGGGAAAGCATTTTCATGATCGAATGCCATGATCGCCTCTAGATTAGAACCTTTTTACACTGAGCGTTCAACTTGTTTTGAGATGTAAAATAGAATTAGGATAAACGGGAGATCTCTTTTTTAAGATTTCCGGTTGAAATGAAAGGGGAAAACCCTGTTTCGACTAATTTCCATTGTATGACGTGATACAAAAGAAGTGAAAACAAGTAGAGGAACACTGGTTGAAGGTCATGAAAAGAAGAGAAAAACAAAAGAAAGCAAAAGTTGGCACCGAGCAAAACAGAATCTGTTTGCCAGAATCTCTCTTTTCTTTTGGTGGGATGAAAAGATAAGAGAAAGTTTACGATTAGAATAACCGACACCAGAGTATGTCATTGAATGGAGTACCGTAGTTTAGATTTGGCTATCTGAAAGTTGTCCAACGAATCAATAACCAAGGTAGTTCGATAACGGAGGTAGTTGTAGCTTTCCGAGGAGTTTTCTTGAATCAAATCGAGCCAGAATCTCATCTCCTGGAATTCGTTTTTTTTAATGACAGCATTTTTAGTTTGGGTTTTTTGTAGTTTTGAGTCTATTCCCAGTATTTTCCTTTCTTCCACTCGACAAATCTTATGATTTGTAAAGAATATTGTACTGTTTATTGTTCAATGAAGAAGTCCAACAAAATTTGATAGCTCACAATCAGCGCAATGGCTCAACGGCTCAATGGCTGATGGCTTGAAAATTCAAAAGCACACGTCTGATCATTCGGGAAAGTTAATTTAGTAGTCCTTTAGTTTAGTAGGTAATATACGTTTGTTCTAAGTTTAATCGATTCAACTCTTTGCAAAGAATCAACGCTTTGCAAAGAATCAACTCTTTGCAATCAGTCAACGCTTTGCAAAGAATCAACGCTTTGCAATCAGTCAACGCTTTGCAAAGAATCAACGCTTTGCAAAGCTTTCTTTTCGGGTTTAAAAAAAAGTGATAACAAGGTAGGCGTCTTGTTTTTGTTTTCGCTAAAAAAATTTTACAGTAATGAGAGCTTTTGGCAATAAAACGGAAAGAGTTCTTTTAGCTGATAGGGATGAAATTGAATCAGAGTTTTTAGATAAAAACTAAGAAACACAAATAAACACAATTTTGTTGATGTCATGTGAAGCGAGAGGGATCAAGAAACAGGTTAGATATGAATTTTTAGCCTAAATTTGCTTATCTTGTTTTTGAGTTGATATTTGCTAGCACCATTATATAAGAGACAACTAAGTGAACATCTATCTGAAGTCAGTAACGATCATTTACCGCAAACAGTAAGGTAAAATGCATCTCAACCATTTCTGCCTTTTAGCTTTGTTTATTCTCTTCATGGGCATAAGTGGTAAGCATTATTTTCAAAGTAGAGGCAAGGAAGCCAGTAGAATTACCACTAGAATTGCCACTAGAATTGTCGCTAGGACTGCCACTAGAATTGCCACTAATTTCCACTAGAATTTCCACTAGAATTGCCACTAGGATTACCCCCTAGAATTGCCAAGAGGATTGCCACTAGAATTACCACTAGAATTGCTACGGAATTACCACTAGAATTGCTACTAGAATTTCCACTAGAATTGTCACTAGGACTGCCACTAGAATTTCCACTAGAATCTCCACTAGAATCTCCACTAGAATCTCCACTAGAATCTCCACTAATTTCCACTAGAATTTCAAAGTAACCACTAGCATTGCTTAACGGTAGAGGAACGGTAATGGCCACTAACGGTACCAGGCTTTGAAACTAGCCATTATCAAATTGTTGCTTTCTTAAGAAAAACTTTGAAGATGATATATTAACCCATTTTATGTAGCAAAAAAAACTTTGATACAAAATAAACAGTATTGATGTTGTTCAGTTGTTAAGAATTTTACCGTTACCGTTTACCGTTTATCCTTAATCACCGTTAGTTACCGGCTAACTCTTAACTGTAAACCGTTAAGCAAGTCTACTAGCCACATTAAGGTCTGGTTCGGACTCTTTTGTCAAAGTATATGTTTTGGGAAAAGTCCTAACTTGTTAAAGTCTTGTAGAGCTTGTCTGGTCTCGCCTGGTGGCTGAAAAGTTGGCTGAAAAGTTCTGTCCGCGTTAGTAGATTTGTCCCTACAATAAAACTTGTAAAAGCCTAAAGTGTCTCAAATGTTAATGGTCAATTTTTACTCTACGCCAACCATATAAACCTGAAGATATGAAAAGTATAGTTTCAAAAGTTTGTTTAGTATTATTTCCTGTGATCCAATACCATTTTTCAGTTTGGCCGCTTGTCAAGTTTCTACAATTCGTTCTCTAAACCAGTTTTCGTTTCATTAAAAGCAAATTTTGATAACCTATCTGAAAGAAGAATCATTTTTGTTTAAAACCATACTTTACATAGTTAGATTCCTATTGAAATTATCGACTTTGAGAGCTTCAAACAATGTTAGTTGAGCTTAAAAATCGCGCGAGTTCAGGGGAGTTGCGTAAAACTCGATTGAAAAAAAAAAACATTAAAAATGGACTTCAAAAAACAAATTTCTCTTTAAAACAAACATAGATAAAAGGCAAAAATAGTCTAATTTCTTAAATTTGAGCTCTATTTTTGTCTATTTCGACGGAATTTGTTATAAAGACACGTCCATTAATGCGGACAGAACTTTTCACTCACCTTGTTACCCGAAAGTGACCGTTTAGCTCAATCCGCCGATGTGAAGTTCAATTGCCCACATGATTGCATTGGTGTTTGGCCGGATTGCGTCTGTACTCCAGGTAGCATACTATGTAAACATGTTTTTGGTTTGTTCATTTGACCCTGACTTTTGCCCGACCGACTCGGTCAAAAAAGGAACGAAGCGACGCCGAAAATTGGTGTTCTGGCACATGTCTAATTCATATTTGAATGACTAACACAAAAAATAATTTGAAAGAGAAGCAACCGGCTGCTCAAATTGCCCAAGTATTTTCTGCTCTATTTGCCCAAGAAGTTGCACGTGTAAATTTGGGCGTTCTTGTCCTGCAGAAAAATGTGAATAAGACTTAGTGCATACTCAATCAATCGACTAATTCAAAAATCTACATTAACTGACTCAAAGCAATTTACAGAATCTGTAGAAAAGAAGTTCACCGTTGACTGTCGGAAGTGTCCGAGAAAATGCAAATGCGTATTCGGGCAGTGTGTGTGTTCTGAAGAAAAAGGTAAATAGCAAGTTTAAGGTAGAGGCACGATATGCCAAAATGCCAAAAAATAAGAATATAATAAGAAATTTCAGAAAAAGCGCTCAAAGGAACTTGTTCCGATCGCGACTGTCCAAGAAGACTGGGTTGCTGGTGTCAGAGTGGCACCTGTTTGTGCCCGGCACAAAGAGGTAGACAGAGTTTCCAGAATTATGGTTTTGGAGTATTTGATCCTGCAAAACTTAGTCAGATCGTGTCTTTCTAATATCTACTTGTCATTGTTGCTTAAGCATTTACTTGCCCTTGATCAAAACGTTTCCGCAGACTGGGGTAAAGAAACCAGGCTAGTGGGTATTCGACTTCGATCCTTAGGCTAATTAAACCACCTTCCTTCAGATTTAAAAAGCTAAAAATGTATTTCTAGAAGAGAAGCCCCCACGAACTTGTTCCATTTTGAATTGTTCAAGAACAGAAGGCTGCCGGTGCCTGGGGAACACCTGTGTATGCCCGGCAAAAAAAGGTAAAAAGTGGATAGAGATTACGATACATAAAATAAATGAAAGTTTGACCTGATTAGAGTTGAAAATAGACTCTACCCTAGCTACAAACAGCCTTTGAGAATTGGCAATCGGAAAATGGTGTGCTATTCTTTCAGAGGTGAGAATCGGCTGCCCACCCCCATGCACCGGATCGCTTCCCAACTGCTCTTGTCCACCAGGACCACCACCATGCCCACCAAATGTCCCATTTTGTGCTGAGAAAAAAGGGATTTAAATTAAAGCTGTAAAAACATTGATCCTTCTTTAATCCTTTAACTTGTTATCTCTTTTCTAAACTTGATTTCGAACAAAAATAAAAATATTGCTTAAAAATTATCTAGGCAAAACAAAACACCAGTAAAGTGACAAGATTTTCGTCAAATCATTAATTTGACGAAGAAAAGCTTATAAGAGAAGTGTTTCATCGATGTGAAGTTCATAATTCCATGAATACCGACTCCGTTGAAAATTACTGCCCTGCAACTCTTATTCTTTTGCAATTTATTTCTCATCTTCTCTCCAGGTACCTTAAATTTGAAAAAGCAAGTGTGAACTAATGTTTTTTGTTTTTATTGAGTATGTTCTCTATTGGGTATCGACGTAGCCTGTTTTGTGGATGTTTATAATCCATCAGTGCACATGCCAGAAAGTTTATTTAAAGCTGATTTGTTTGGGAAAACTTTGTGCAAACATTTTTATTTGTGCGAGACTTATGGCGATGGCCCCCAATCAGAGTATTTCTCGAAAACGCTTCCATCTTGACACTCGCCACACATATTCGAATACATTCCATCGTCACGCACTTCCCATTCCGTCAGCCCGTTATCATCGACACCTCCGTTATTTCCCGGCGCTCCGTCGCAGCCGGTGCTGAAATCGATTACCCATTATTATTTCTAAGACTAAACTGTTCTCACCGATGAGCTCTGTTAAACGTGTAGCCTAAGCCTAAACCTAAGCCTTACGACTCACTTTCCGTGTCCCCAAACATTCTGATGAATGTACCAATTGCCCGAATCGCGTGCATCTTGACCGTTATTGTTAGCGTAACACCAGAAACACGTTGTCCCCTGCTCGTTGTCCTTGAATCCCCAGCTGAGAGTCTAGACGATATTTAACAGGTTTGTCAATAAAGTGACTGGTCCGCTTACATCTCCGCTGTCAAGTGTCCACCAGTCGTCATCATCTGATCCATCGCCTGTAATCGCATCATCGGCCGAGGCACATTTCAGATAAATCGAATTCGAGCAATTGTTCGTCACAACCACCCCATAATCGGTTGAGAGTTCATCGACGATTTTCTGGATATCTTTGCCGACATCGAGGATTCCCTTTTGAGCGACAGAGCTGAGAATGCATGCTGAGAAGACGAGGAGGAGAGAACGATACATTTTGGAAATAGTTTGACCTGAAAGGTCAAAAGTTTAACAAGTTAACGAGCGTAATCAAATAAGTTAGAGTTAAACTAGTTAGAGTGTTCAGCTAACGCTTTTCTTCTAAGCACCTCGCCCAGCTCCATCTCAAACCCTCCTGTTAGCTGACAAGGGAATAACACCAGGTTCAGAATCGCTTCGTGACCAAGTGCATCTTATAGAATCGGCTATACTGATTTTGAATCTGTAAAAACTAGCTGCAAACACCCACGCAATCGCAAGAAATCTGGCATAGAAAGTTTTCTTAAATTTTGGACTCTTCATGAGGCCTTTTCCAACTTCTAACGGTTTTCAGAAAATTTGCAATTCTCAAAATCGATTTCAGCGTAGACTGATGAACTTCAAAATGCAAGAATAAGGTTCTTTATTGATTTTCATATAGTAACAATGCAAAATTGTAAAATTTGCACAAACAAAATACTTTGCTGCAAAAAAAGCACTGCTTTTTGTTGGCAGAGATAATAAAGTCATGAACCATTGGTGCCAGAGTTCGAAAAATGTATATGAACTCCATAATGACTCTATAAATAAATTTCATCCCTTTAAAAGTTGTAAAAGGGTGCATAAAACATAAATATTTAATGCAAAGACATCAAAAAAAGCAAGAAAAGTCAGCCTGGGGAAGATTCGAACCCAAGCCAAAAATCTTCATAAGTTCCGTAGGCTAGCTCAGTATCCGCTAGACCACCAAAGTCGCTGAAACGTGTCTTTGTGGCGGCCCCATTAGAGTCCGAAATGTAAGGGAATTCTCTATGCCAGATTCCCTGCGATTGCGTGAGTGTTTGCAGCTAATTTCTACTGATTCAGAATCAGCATAGCCGATTCTATAAGATGCACTTGGTAATGAAACGATTCTCAACTTCGAGCTCGTGTCATTCCCTTGTGAGTTTCTGGTGGTTTTAAAGTAGTTAGCCTATGTATATATGTAGATTTATCGAGCTGAAAAGATATACAAAATACAAGCAAACAATTGAAAAAAATCTGATGGAGTTTCGATGAGTCGAGGAAGTGCTTTTATAATATTTTGAATCAAAGCGGAAAATATTTTTATTTTTCGAAGCTTTATTGTTCAGCTACAATAGATAGTGCTGAATGTTTTTGTATTTTTGAATGATTGAAGAGTCTAGATAACCTTTATTGAATAGTTGAAAAGAGAGAGATCCCGAATCGCTTTGAATAGAGCCGTCAAAACATGATACCTACATAGTTCATTCCTGAGTGAGCATTGGATCAACATGTGTCTATACTGTAAAATGTAGAAATGTTTCCGATCTACTAGATTATCCAATATCAGCTTTTTTCGGGCCGAATTTGATTCTAACGCATTTCTAATCCGATTTCTCATTTCTCATTTCTACCTCGAAGGTCTCCGATTTCTCATTCCACGACCTCGAAGGTCACAAGGCTGAGGTGGCTAAATGACGCAGAATCTTACGCTGATTCCGATACTGGTATTCCTTTTTTGCAAAATGATTTGCAAAAAAGTTGACGTCTTTCTGAAACGCCTGCGAGCCCGCTCGCATGCTAATGGTGATCGATTCGAATTTGATAGTTGATTTATCATTTTTGATGTACAATAAATGTTATTCAGTTAAAAATTTGTCTTTTTTGCTCTTGTCTGCTTTAAAATCAGAAGTTTATCTTGTTTCGACAATTATGGCGCATCCTTTAGTGCCGCTTCTTCTTAAACTTTCAAGATTTTCAGTCAAGTCGAGAAGCAGTCTAATCCGAACACGAGTTATAAAGAAACAGTTTTAAACATCGGCTTTGGATAATCGAAGCAATTTAAGATATTTTTGGATGTTTCAAAATCAAAATGGTATTTTCAAATCCGAACAGCCTCTGAGCTATCTTGTAAAATTTAGTACTGAACTTTTAATCACAATACATCAACATTATCAAGAGTTTCTGGAGACAACGAGAACTTTACCAAACTGCATTCAAATCTCGACTCACGATTGATTAGAAATCAGATTGATTAACAAAGATTGATTAACCTAGATCTCCCTTTGCTCCCCCTCCCTTTGCTTCGATAGATCTGAACCGGAGCAACAAATTTGATGTTCAAACACACTAACCACTGTCCTACGAGTTTACGCTTAGATTTAAAAAGCACTTTTATAAACCTACCAAAAGCGAACTCAATTTTGTATGCCAGTTTCCTTGCGATTCAGAACTCTTAGGTACATGCATAAGAAATGCGGATTTCAACATTTTCATAAATTCCCAACGATAGAAACCCGATATCGATGAATGTTATAAACTATTTGAAAGTTGTAAATCTCCTCTACAAAATAGGCTAAAACGTGTTTCAATTGATCGAAGCATTGAAGAAATTTCGAGGGCGAAATGTGAGTGACCAAAAAGAAATCGAGTGACTTTAGCGACCAAAAATGGGCACTTTTTGAAAACCCCACTTTCACAAGAGTTCCATTTCGACTATATAGTGGAAAATGAGCGCCCTAAAATATTATTCAAAATAACTAAGAGTTGGGATCATTTCATGGGAAAACTTTGTTTTTACAATAATTTTTCTTTTTTTGTGAAAAAGCCGCTTTTTTGACAATTTTGAGGGTTTTGAACTTACGCTCTAGCCAAATTTCTGTAAATGCATTTCGGTTAGACTTTTTTAATGAATAGATATATAGTTATCCTTTTTGTTTTTAAATCTTCAATTTTGGGAAGCTAAGTCTATTTTGACGACACTAAACTTGTCCCTAAAGTGACTCGATTCCTTTTTTGGTCACTCGCATTTTGCCCTCGCAATTTCTTCAATGGTTCGATCAATTGAAACACGTTTTAGTCAATTTTGTAGAGGAGATTTACAACTTTCAAATAGTTTATAACATTCATCGATATCTGATTTCTATCGTTGGGAATTTATGAAAATGTTGAAATCCGCATTTCTTATGCATGTACCTAGTATTATGGGAAAACTAAAAAAGCATAGAAATCAGCGTGAAAAACTCTACAAGATCGTCTAGGTCTCATTTAATATTTCTAACCGAAAAGTGAACCGAGAAAAGCGCATGGAAAATAACAAATGTACTTCAGAGTATCGCCTATTCCAAGAAATCTCGAAAAAACAAAAGTCTGTGTAGTAGACCATTTACCAAATTCAAAAAGAACGAATTTTCCGCTTCACACGCTTTCTCGACTAAACACCATGAGAATATTTTGCTGGAAATGCTCTATAAAAGGCGTCTCACGGTTCAATTATTCGCTGAATCACTCCTTAAACTTCACACAATAATTTCGGAGTTTTCCGATAATTTTCCGATAGTTTTCCGATAGTTGTTTTGTCATTTAAGTTCGTTGCTGAGAATAATGACCAAGTATCGCTATTTCAACGATTCCCTTCTCTTACAGGTGCAATTTAAAGCTAACAAATAGCTAATAGTGTCCAAAACGTTGCTTCAAAGCTCCAAACCTCCAAATTGTTTTGTTGAAAAGTTTCATCAATTTTTCAGATCTATGCTCTTTACAAAGGGGACGACGTTCTCCGTTTGGATGCCGAGTGTGCTGAAGGGAACAATCCACATCCAAAGAATCTCATTCAAGGTAAGTCTGTCTAATCGGGGATCGTCATTAATAATTTTTGCTTGAAAAGACGAGAGTTTAGAAATATTGGTACTTGTCACTTTTACCCCTTCATTCAATTTGCATTACGGTACGGTTCCAATACGGTTCCTATTTTGCTCTAATACGGTTCCAATACGGTTCTTTTTTTGATCTAATACGGTTCCGATACGGTTCGATTGTGATTGTGATGATCGACAAGAACCCACTGGCGTACTTGTCTTATCCCCCGCAAAGCTTTTCATTCAATTTGCATTGCTGAAGGTTGATTTGCAAGCACCCCATATTTGCAAGCAAGTACCCCATATTTGTCAAAATATAAATTCGCAATTTCGTGGAGATAATATCAACAAGTACGCCAGTAAATTCTTGTCTCAACAATCAATTAATGCAAATCGCACATCCCAAATGTACAGAGTCCAAAATCATGGCAACTTCTTTATAGAAAAGATCTGAGAAATGCCTAACTTATTTCAAGAGTGTTAAGTGTTATATAGAGAATTAAAGCTCTTAATCTTGGCTTCATTTATCTATTAAAGATTCGACAATCGGAGTTATGCAGCTCATTTTACAGGTTTTCGAATGAGCTCTAGTCGGCCTCTCTCCAGTGAAATGCTATTTTTGATGATTTTCTTTAAAAAAATTTCATTTAAAATGGCTTTCTCCAGTCGGATTTGTGCTTTTTTTGTTTAACAAATTTTTAGCCTTAGAACAGCTCACAGCTACAGCAAAATATGAATAAAAGTTAGAAATTAAAAATTAATTTTCAACTCCTTCCTTTGGGCTTCCAAATAGACTTTAAATCAATTCAATTTTTGTTTATGAAAGTTTAAAGAGCTCAATTTATTCTTACTGTTATTTAGTAGCATTAAATAGTATTTTTACATTAAATAAATAGATAAGAAAGTTTTCCGACAATTTTTTTAAAAGAAAATCATCAAAAATAGCACTTCGCTGGAGAGAGACCGACTAGAGCTCATTCAAGCGCTTGTTAAATGAGTTGTATAAGTCGAATCGGAAAGTTTTTGGTAGATAAATGTTGCCAAGAATTAGGGCTACAATTCTCTATATAGCACTTGACACTTTTAAATGAAGTTGGACTTTTCCCAACTAATTTTCCAAAGTTGTCTCTATAATTCGCGGTCACCCTGTACCTAAATAGACAGAGCTCATTCGAAAGCTTGTAAAATGAGCTGCATAACTCCGATTGTCGAATCTTTAATAGATAAATGAAGCCAAGATTAAGAGCTTTAATTCTCCATATAGCACTTGACACTTTCGAAATAAGTTAGGCATTTCTCGGATACTTTTCTATCAAGAAGTTGCCATAATTTTGGATCACCCTGTAAATTTCTTGTTTGTGGGGATAAAATAGAAAAGTATCAAAATTTTTGTTGTTAATTGTTGTTAATGTGTTTCTCTAGGTTCAATCTACCTAAGCGTCGGCTCATTCTTCATCACTTTGTACGCATTTTGTCTGATTGCAATGGCACAAGAAAAGTTTATGAAAATCATTTGCTACAGAATATTGTAGGCTTTAATGGAATCAAAATTTGATTTGATTTTTCTAGATTTGTCGTCGGTTTTGTCGATATTTTCAGTCTGGTTCCAAGCTCGATTTTGCCCGGTTTGAAGCGAAAAGAAAGCATTTTCGTAAAAAAACATTTTCAGGCTATTTTCTGGTGATGGGCTACTCGTTTTGCGACAGTCCACTGCTGAATCTCTGGATTGCAACACTGTGCTTCGGTGAGTTTTACCGCAACTTTTCCAAGTGCCCCATTTTTTTCAGCCGATTGGTGCGTCTATTGTGCGTTGAGTGTGGTGTTGGGGGTAAATCGCTGCGTCGATTTTATCGGTCCCCAGTTGCAGCAGGTGAGTCAAGATCCATTTAGTGGGGGTGAATGAGGATTCACCACTGTGTGATGAATCTTCATTCATCCTTCTTTATTCCGATCACAAAATTCAGACACTATTCGGCGGATGGCGACTGGTGCTGTGGATTCTCCCGCCATTCATCTACGGGGCCAGCGTCTACTTCACCTGCCCCCCACTCGTCTATCTCACCCCCACGGCCAGCTATTATTTCGCGGCAAAGCCCGAGCACTCCATTGTGAGCCACGTTTCAGATTAATACAGGGTGCTCAAAAAGTTTCCGCACACTTTACGAAAGAAGCTCTATTTTTCAGTTAAAGCCCCGATCGAAATTGGACTTACAGAGCAAGGTATAACCACAACTTTTTATAAAAGTAGCTAGAAAATGCCCAACTTATTTCAAAAGTGTCAAGTGTTATATAGAGAATTGTAGCCCTAATGCTTGGCTACATTTATCTACCAAAAGCTTCCCGATGGAACTTATACAGCTCATTTAACAAGCGCTTGAATGAGCGCTAATCGACATCTCTCCAAATCTGTCATTTGGCCGCCTTTCTACATTAAAAAATTTCATTCGGAAAAGTTTTTCTCAGTCAAATTTGTGGTAATTTTGTCAAAAAAATTGCTTTCAACAAATTGATAGCGCCAGAACATCTGATATAACGAGAACTCTAAACTGAACATCGAAAATAATCAATTACTCCTTTTTCCCTGCTTCTTCAAAGAGCTTGACATTAACTTAAATTTTGGTTATGCCAATTCAGCCAAAACAGTTAAGTGTGACTCTTATTTTTATTAAGTAATGCTAAGCGTTATTTTTGCATTGAAGCAATATAGAAAAGCCTTTCTTAGCAATTTCTAATAGAGAAAAGCGGCCAAATGACAGATTCGCCGGAGAGATGTCGATTAGAGCTCATTCAAGCGCTTGTTAAATGACTTGTATAAGTGTAATCGGGAAGTTTTTGGTAGAGAAATATTGCTGAGAATTAGGGCTACAATTTCCTATATAACACTGGACACTTTTGAAATAAATTAGACATTTATCAGGTACTTTTCCAGAAAGTTGTCTCTATACAGTTGTCTGTAATTCGCGGTCACCCTATAGTATTTTGAAGCTGAGAATTCTGGGGAGCATTCCTACACCTAAACCATTCTGATCAGAGCCACCTAGCTCTCCAAAGAAGCATTGTAGTGCGCTGGAGGGAAACTGTCACGGCGCTCACCTATTTTTGTTTTAGCGTTTATTTAGAAAATGAATCATTTACAAGTGTGCGGGGAACTTTTTGATCACCCTATCGAATTTCGATATGTATAACGAATCGTTCGGAACCGAAATTCAATACAATGAACCTAAAACGTGTTTCGATACAATGAACCTAAAACGTTTTCTGCATAACTCTGGGCGGGCGACGCCGGAATTTGGGGCAAACTTTAGAATTTCAAAAGCATTTTGTCGAAGTTGACTGTATTATTAACCATTTTAGCCATTTTTCTTTTAAGCAAAGCTTTGTTTGACTTAAGCTTTGACTTAAGCTTTGACTTTCTTGACTTTCTTTGACTCAGATGCCTTTATTTCAGATGCCAATGATATTCTTGTATAACAACATCGGTGTGGCGATTTGCATCTTGTTTTTGAATAGTCTCATGCTGATTTTGATGTATCGAGCCCATCGAAAGATGAATGCGAACACGAACAAAATACAAACAGTGGTGAGTGATTCTTTGTGCATTCTTTGAGAAGAAAAGTCGATGCAATATTGAATTTTGTTTCAGATTGCTATTCAATGCTTTGGGATTTGCACGACGGTGATGATCACCGGCATTTTCTATTGTACAATTTGCTCGGGTTTCATCGTGCTTCCTCCAATCATGTACCTCGTCACTAATGGCTCGTGGCAATTCTCGAACAGTGTGTTGTCAAGACAATTCTCGAGCTAACGATGGTCAAATGTCAACTCATCAAAATCAAAATCAAAATTTTCAAGATTGGCACCATGATAGAACCATTTTTAAGCGGTTTTCAGATTTAGAAACTAGAAAAAAGTCTCAAAAAAGCCTCAAAAAAGTCAAAACCTTTCAAATTTTCCAGGTTCAATGGCGATTTTCTATATGGTGGTAAACAAATCAATGCGTAGAGAAGTGCTCAAACTTATCTACCGAATCACCCCGTTGGGAAGAATTCAGCGATACAAAGTCACCTCATCGTCAAATCAGACTGCTTAGGCTTTTACGGACTTTTTGAGAATCACTCTAAACTTGAACGAATGGTTGTTTAATGGTTTAATCTTATTTTTGTTGTAGTTCGACGAAATGCGAAAATAAAAATGTGCAGTGAAGCAAAAGATCAAGGGATTCACACAACAAGGCCGTTTTTCACAAAAGTGCCACCAAAAAGCTATTCAGAAAAGCTAGAGCTACATAAAAATTTACAGATATAGCACATAACTTAACTTATTTTCTATTGGGTATTTTTTGAAACGGCTTTTAAAAAGCACAATTAAGCACAGGTGGTGCGTATTTTGGCCGTTCCCGACAAACTCACTAGAGCTCCAATGGACAGACTGACATTTCGAAATTATATATAGATTAGATTGCTTTGCAAAGTAATTGTTTGTGTTTTGGATTGGCCGAGAAATTGGCTAGTCATCTGCTCGATTTCTAAGAACTAACGATCAAGGCTCAGGCTCGGCAAACGAGGCTAGATAATCTTCATAATTTATTCGATAAGCGGAAGAAATAAATACATATAAATTTGGTTGAAATGTTTATGAAGAAAAATGATGGCAGAACTCGAAAATGATAAAAAAAAGGCAAAAACAAATGCAAATGATGAGTTAACTAGTGCAGAAATGGGAACTGAAATTTCTTTGCTTGAGTCGAAATCGATTAGATTTGACGTTGAAAGATCTAGAAATGACTTGGGGGAAAAGGAAGAATGTGATTTCAAAGTGATTCAAAAGTGATTTGCTTTGATTTCAAAGTGATTCAAAAGTGATTAAAAACACAGAGCGTTTAAAAAACGGATAACGTGTCGGATTGCAAAGCTGTAGGTCGAGGGTTCGACTCACTCACGAGCAATTGATGCTTGTCGTGTTGATCATTGGGAGGTGAACAGATTTGACAACATTTCTATGTATTAGGTTGGAGCATACCGTAAATATTCTAATAGAAAAGCTCCCTATAAGCCTCGTCTTCGTCGTCAAGTCTAAGTTTACTCTTAAACAAACGCTTGAATCTTGACACCAGTACGTTTGTTTCGGCGCGCTTTGGTATCAAATTAAAGTAGAGAGAATGGGTGATCTTTTAAGATATAACACATCTTTTAAGCATTAACCAGCACTTAGAAAAAAAATGACTGAGAGCCGTTTTTCGCCTGAGCAAAAAACGAGCCGATTTTCAATCTTTTTTTCTAAGTTACAGAGCTTTCAACTTAAAGGCGTATAGTTTAAAATTTTCAATCTTTTCCGATTCAGGGCCTCAGAACTGTTATTTATAGTCAACTTTGCCTACAGTTGACTACAAATAACAGTTCTTTTCTTTGAACTACTACAGTAGTACTCTTGTTTAGAGGCCAAGCTCCCCAAAAGCGTCACCCAGCCCCGATCAAGCCGTACCCACTGCATGCCACGGCCCGACCAGGCCAGTCCTTAGAGCCAATCCTTTTCCCGAAGCCAATCCTTTTCTAATTTGCCGACTTCCCTTACCTACATTATTCTATCGACTAGAGGCTGTTCAATTGGAATAGATTTATCAAACTTTGACTACACTAAGATGGGCTATTAGATTCAAAAACAAAAAGTACTACTAGTTTGTAGTTTTGGAAAGAAGTTACTTATGTTTTGCTTACGTAAATTTCTTTTGCTTACTCTCTACAATATTTGACTATTATCAAGATAAATTTCCTATACAAATTTCTAATAAATTTCCAGCTTATCACTTTGAATAACTTTTGAATCAATCTATCGACTGAAGCTAATGGTGAAGATAATCGTCAGCTTTTATAGGATAAAAATGCAAAGCTAGGATGCCCGGAAAATCACAGTTTAGTAAAAGAAAAAGCGGAAAAACATTGCACATGACCTGCTTCAAAAAAAACCAAGCAAAACAAACAAACAAACGCGAAATCTAAGAGAAAAGCATGAATGGGAAGTTGACAAAATTTTTTGTTCAACGAATTGAAACTTTTTCTGTGCATCAATGAGGTTTCATTGCTCTAAGAAAATTAAGAAATGGAAAATCTAAATAAGTAAGAGATATAGAGCAAATATATATAGGGGGTTTGTATATTTGTAGCAAATTTGATACATCTAAAGAGGTTCAACTATCGACTGACGATCGCTTCGGCGGCCGCATTCAGATTCCAAGCCCTTGCCTCCAAAGCACTGATTGCAATTGCTCGGTCCGACGCAATTCCCGTATCGACAAGGTACTCAACCTGAATGTTTTCAATTTTTATACTCTCTTAAAGATGCAAAAATCTAGTTCTTGTTTCACACTGTAGTCCTAAACGAATAGTATCAAAGTACTCAAGGGTCGAGACTGATGATTGGAATGATGTTTGGATCCTGTGGCCTTTTCCGATGATATATAGACTATTCGACGCAGAATTTTACGCTCCAATGATTCAATGATTCTACGCTCCAATCCAATTCCAATGATGTAAAAATTAGTTGCCGAATGGCGCGTAATCACCGCCAAACTGGCATAAAAGTTTTGAGCCTCTCCTTCTAAGTCATTTTTTCAACACAAGCCGTTCATCGGTGGCCAAATGGTTGAATGCTTGTACAGCAAGCTGAGGGTCAAGAGTTCAAACCCGAGTCGTCTCATTTTTTTTTTGCTTTTTTCCATCCTACGTCCTTTTGTGTTCTTTGTGAGTCCACATAAACGCTTTTCTCCTGTTCGATCATAGTTTGTCATTCTTGTTAAAAATTTAATAGCTTGTCAGTGTCAATGTCAATCTAACCAATAATGCATTTTGCAAAAGATATTTAACCTCAAACTTTAAAAAAACGAGCAGCAGCGCAGCGACCTTTTTTGTGTTGATCCCCGCCACAGATGAACGGTTTGTGTTGAAAAAAAATTGGTTTAAAAGGAAGGGCTCAAAAATTGTATGCCAGTGGCGGTGATTACGCGCCATTCGGCAGCTAATTTTTACATCATTGGAATCAGCGTAAAATTCTGCGTCGAATGATCTATATATCATCGGAAAAGGCCACGGAACCCAATCATCATTCCCTTGTTAGTCAGAAAACCGAATAGCTTTAGATTGAATTGAGTACTTTAGCAGAATGTAGTGAGCCAAGAGACTAAGATTTTACAGTGTGCTGATGAATAAATAAATGTAGAATTGTTCGTAGAATAAGTTTGTGTCATAAAGTGATCTTTGAGTCCTTTATGTAAGAGAAACTACTTCTGAAATCTTTTCAAAAAAGTCTTTGAGCCAATTTAGTTGTCAATGCAGTTTTCAAAGGTCAATGAATTCTTGTCAGTCTTGGGATAGCTTCGTTCACGCTTGATTACAAACCTTCAATTGTTTCAACGCTTCTTCCACATTTCCCCCACAAATCCCAACCATTCGATCACAGTTGCCTCTCTCGGCAAACGAGGCCTCTTTATAGAGAATTTCCATTTGTTCGGCTTTTGTCACTCCACTAGTTGTTGGTTGACTTTCACGTGGAAGAGTGGATTGGCTAAACTTCGTAGATTGTATTAGCTGAATTTTTGTACCTAATATTGTACCTATTATTGTAAAGTTCAGCCAATGGATCGAAAGAATTCAGTACTTCTTCGGAATGTTGAACAATGGTTGATGATGGCTGAAAAAGAGGAAATGAAGAGTCATTTTAAACAAAAACAAATATTTGCATTGTTTTGGAATGATTCAAGAGCTACTTGACATCAATGGAATGTATGACTATTTGTTTAGAAACAAAAAAAAAACGATTTCCAATCAAAAAACTAAAAAATTTTAAATTACAAAACTTTAAAAGTCTTTAAGAGTTAAGCAACTATAAAATTTATCAATTTTTAAAATTTGACTGAAACTCCACTACTTTTCTTTTCAGATTTTCCGGCTCGGTTTTTGCTTTAATACAGAACCATACCTTACCGTAAATACTGTAATAGTACCCCACCCCCATAATGACGGTGCAGAGTGTTGCGTAGTCTAGCTTTGAACGAGTTTTTCTCGACACTGGTTTATGCTACAATGCGCGCTCAGGTATCAAAAAATAGCCCTGAATTTCAGCTATTTTTTGATACCAAAGCGCGCATTTTTTGAAAGTACAGGCGCTTTGAAAAAAATGAAATACTAAAAAACCTTTTGCGACTACGCGACTGTACGAGGGGGGTGGGGTACTATTACAGTATTTACGGTATGTTTATTAGATTAACTTGAAATTGTATTAAAGCAAAGCTTTTTAATAACTCTATAGCGCATACATTATGGCCGAGTGGCTAGAAGCCGGCTTAACCGGCTTATCTTAATCGGGTTCAATCCCGCCGGCTAGATTATTAATTCTTTTTTCCCATGTATATGAGTTTTTCCCTACATTTAGGGCTTAGGGGTGCTCGTGTATTGTTTGTACGACATTTTACGTGTGAATAAATGTAAATGTATACCGGTGGTGGTGTAAGCGGCCTTAACGGAGCGGTGAGTGCAAGTGGGCGACTACTGTCGGAGAGCAATGGGTAAACGGATGAAGTGTTTGAAAGTCTTCCCATCGATCCGTACCCATTCAGTCCATTGAAGCCATTCATTCCATAACCTAAAACAATGGTTTTCTAGATGATAGATAACAATGGTAGATATTCGATGGGCCAGCCCTTACCCCCATAGATCGGCGATGAAGCTCCATAGCCCATTCCATAAATCGGACTATTGTATCCACCGTATCCATTTGAATAAGTTGATCCAAGACTTTGTTGAGCTGAGAAAAGTGGCACAGAGTGGATTGATTGAGGGCGGGAAGACAAGGCAAGGATGGCATCAACTTGTTCTTGAGAAAAGCCACGTGTTCGCGGTGGGGAGACATTCTGAAAGAGTTGAGGAGTGAAGGCGAAACACTAGCTTGTTTTCATATTATTAAGATTTTTATAGCTCACTTGTGTCTGTGGCTGGGCTATTGTCGAGATCTTTGGATAGAGAGGCGTCGGTACAAGGGGTTCACTAGGCAAGACTGAAGCCGCTGGTCTTGGTGTGGCAGCTTTTTGAGCAGGAGGTGCAACAATTGGTGTGGATGTGCTGGCTCGTCGCTGTTGAGCGGCAGAATTTCTAAATTCTTTTGTTTAACTTTAACAATGACAATTTTAAACATTTGAAGAAATCTGATAAATCTGAATGAAATAAAAGTTTTCTTTCAAGTACTCACAAATTCGCGTGATGCAGGGGTGTTGGCTGGAGAACAGAGCTTGATGGGAGCACCGATGGGATGACTCTGGCCTGAAATTCGTTCATATAGCCTTGTTGAGTCAATCGTTGTCTATAAGTTTCCATACTTGAATGGAATCACACCTACACAACATTTCTATACATTTAGGTTTAAAAGCTTTTCTTTGAGTCACGCAAATGTAATCAAAACAAGAATTTAGATACTTATGGATATGTCGTAGCGGATTATGAATGAGCGGGTCTAGGAGCGTCCAATCATCAAGTATTTGGTATCATTCAACGCAGAATCATTAATAATTATGTTAAATTTTTAAAATTAGAAAGATTTGATAAAAAGAAAAAAATTAGAGCAAAAAAAATGTTTTTTCAAGAGGAAACTTTGAGGTCCCATAATTTTTTTTCTTTTTATCCAATCTTTCTAATTTTAAAAATTTAACATAATTATTAATGATTCTGCGTTGAATGATACCAAATACTTGATGGTTGGGACGCTCCTAGACCCACACATTCATAATCGGCTACGGGGATCCCGCCGATTTTGAATGAAACGTTGTAGCGCCGGTAATTTTTAACCTAAACTCACAAATTTGGTACCAATCGACGCAGAATTTAATTCGCTACAGGATGATATAATATTGTCCTCATACATTAAAGGGTTGCTCTACTAGAAAGATTTGCCAAAAAATTTCATTCATAATCGGCTACGACAGATATATCCTTGAATCTAACTCAAATAAAAGTTTGATTAGCTCACAGTTCAGGCTAAATCTCTCCTTTATCTTTAAAATTAAAGCTGTAAAATTCAAAGCAGTTTTAGTTTGAATAAGATTTCCTTACGAGCTATGAGCTTTTGTTTTAAAATCAGACAAAATACTGCAAAGACATTTGCAGAGTTCATCCCATAAGTATCAGAAGTTAAAACTTTTACAAGACTTCATCTTCCTCACCTCTCTAACCACATCAACAGTCGGTATGGCGGCTGCAATGGTACTTATAGGCGGTCTGACCTACAATGAAAAGGTTATAAAGTTTTTCTAGAAATTTTTACCTGTTGTGGTTGATCACCTTGCGAACTGGTCGATTTTGTGCTATCACTTCCGTAAAAGAGAGCACTCGGGGCCGGAAAAATGGTAGTGAAATCAATTTCTGTTGTGTGTCTTCTTGAAGAACCATTCGCTTGTGCTTGACCATTTTGCGCATTTGAATTAACAGCTTGTTTCGGCTCACTTTTCGGTGTTTGGCTTGTAGGTTTCACATTTGCCGTTGCTGATGGTAGCTCGACTTTAGTTGGTTGCAAAACTGGAGTAGATAAAGCTGCGGCTGTGGTTTGCCTAACTCCATTTTGTCCAGAAGGTTTCAAACCCTGTGTTGGTAAAAGAGCCGGAGTTGACTCAACTTTCGGCATTTGCTGCTTCGCGAGTTGTTCTCGTTGTTGCCGAATCTGTTGCTCTCGCTGCTGTTGCAATAATTTCTCTTGCGCCAGCTTTTCTTGTTGCATTCTTTGCTCCCGAAGAAACTGTTCTTGTTTCTGCTGTTGGATCTGTTGCAAAATCATCTCTTGTTGTTTTTGTTGTTGTAGTTGTTGTTGAGCGAGAGTCGGTTGCTGTTTGATGGGTGTTGGAGTCAATACTTGGGACATAGGTCTTTGTTGTTGAGGGATTGCAACAGTTGGAGGGGTGATCATGCTCATTCTAGATGCTTGCCCGAGATGAACGTGATTCAGCGATGGATGTACAGGGCCTTGAGCGTGATGGAAATTCTGTAGTGGATGGGGTGAAGTGGTTGCACGAGCCGATGACGGACTTTGGATGGGTTGGAGGACCTGAAATGAAATCTTTAGGTTAAAATTGAGATAGATTATTGGTCGAGCGTTGGCCCGGTAAGCGAGAGGTCGCGGGTTCGAGTCCCGACCCCAACCTCAACGATGTTTTGTGTTCCCAGCCCCAACCCATAAAAGAAACTATTGAACTATTGTCCAACTATTGAAAACTAGGAAATATTTCTCAAATCTAAAGTTTAAACCTTTTTACCAAACCTCAAAGCTATTTATATCTTGAATTCAATTTTGTTATATTAGGTACTTGCTAAAGAAACTGTGGGTCATAAAAACGATCATACAACGACTGTAAGTAAAAGTGATCCGGGTTGATTAGTATTTTTAGAAACCTCAAGATCTTTTCTTTTTAAAGGTATGAAAAGAATTCTGCAGTGATCGCTTCTGAGCGGAATATAGACATTTCAAAAAGGTACCAAAAAGACTTGGCGACGGCTTAAACTTATAACAAAAGGATTATTTTTGACGAAACCCTGGTCTAAATTATTGACAGAGTAGAAGCCGAAACTTAATAGAAGCTACAGTCATGGACAAAAGTCTTGGCGGCTCCTGGGTGGCAACTTTCAAACACAAATTTAGGAACCTTTCCGAGGCTATAAAAAAGTTGTCACAAGTATTTTTGAGCATTTTTACTCTACTTTTAGCTATGACCAAGCATTGAAAAGGTTCCTAAATTTGCGTTTGAAAGTTGCCACCCAGGAGCCGCCAAGACTTTTGTCCATGACTGTGTTTACAGAAAACTAAAACAAATTTAGTGGACTATTTCACTATAAAAAATCCTTTGAAGAGTTGTGACTCTTAAAAGAAGGGTCGAAATTCGGTTTTCAAGGTTATTTTCAAAAATTGTTCTAACAAAGAGTACGCAACGAACAAACCTAATTTGTATCTTATTTGCTTTCGTTAGTAAACTTCTTTCATTTCATATTAGTGACAAAACATTTATTGAAAAACCGTGGCGAAATTTTGAGTTGAAAATTCGGCTCCGCCAAGTCATTTTTGGTTTCTTTTTTGAAAATTCTACTTTCAAAAGGAAGCTTCGTAAAACAAATAAGCTATTTTCAAATTCAGATTGAAAGATTCTGAACTCACCTGGTTTACGTGAAGTTGCGGAGTCGAATTTGGGTGTCGATGTGGCTGGTTGTAAGCGGGAGGGGACTAAATTCACTGAATAGAGCGAAATTTTTCCCTGAGTCACCCAAACACCCGCATCAAAAGCGGTAATTTAGAGAAAAAGAGCGCGGAAATCTCCCCCTTTTTTTTTTCTAGTGTTTACTTCAACAGAGAGGAAATCTATTTGTTGACCTACCGGTGCAGGTTGAAGAGAGTTTTTCTCCATGATTTCGTTGTATCGATCTTTTTGGAGAACATTTTTGACGGCAGAGGGGACCTGAAAGAAGCAAAATATGAATTGAATCAGTCGAAATGCTTTAATGAAAAAGTCAATAAGCGTCAGCGGAAATTGTTTGTGCGAGTTTTCTCCTCAGATTTCAGAATTTCAAGTTTTACTCGAATTTCAAGCAAAACTAGCAGGCTTTTGATATAAAATAGTTTTCTAAAAGGTATCTATAGGGTTGTCCAGTTATGAATACGCGTTTTTTACTATTTTGTAAATTTCTCAAGGTACCGAAATCAAGAAAAAGATATATATGAGTATTATTCGAAAGCTGAAGATCTCCTCTACATTTTAATGTAAAAAAGTTTTTGAATTTGTTCAGCTTTTGGGCAAATTGACTGCACAGAAGAAGAGGTGGCCAAAAAATGGAAGAGCGCCTTTGGATCAAGTTTTGGCTCCGCTCAAATTGAGTTAACCGTTTGATGTTTGGCCAATAGATATATCAATACAAGTTTTTTTTAAATATAACAATTTCAGAGCATCTTTACTTCTCTTTTCTTTTCTGGGCGGTTATTTTACACCATAAAACTTGAGGAATAGCTAAGCTGGAATGGGTTTTTTCGAAAACGACCTCTTCTTTGTGCAGTCAATTTCCCAAAAAGTTGAATGAATTCAAAAACTTTGTTATTCCAAAATGTAGAGGAGATCTTCAACTTTCGAATGATATATAACACTCATATACATCTGTTCGATATCTTGAGAAATTTACAAAATAGTAAAAACGCGCATTCATAACTGGACAACCCAATATTTTAGAATTTATCGTAATAAAACTAATGGCACCTTCAGCTTTCATTCAGTAGCTCAATTTGATATCATTCTATCACAAGGCTCAGTCAATGCTACCAAAATTGAGCTAATTAATCTAATTACGTATAACTTTGCAAAGATTCCCGTTTATAAAACGCTTTGATTAAGGAACATAGTTTTTCCCTAATGCAGATAAGAGTCACTAACCTCAAACGGATCATGTGCATTTGGGGAGATACTAGAAAAAGAAGACGGAGCTCTCATTGTGTTCATTTGGCTGTGTACAAAAACGGGCGTTTCAGCAGAGGTTGTTGGTTGTTGCCGGAGTCGAATTGGCTCATTTCCTAAATACTAATTGAAAGCTCAACCATGAGGGCTTACTTCAAACCTTTGCCGATTTTACTCTGCAATTCGTTCAGGATGTTTTGTCCGTGACCGATGCCGACTGAAGATTTTGGTGCAGGTCCTAAAATGAGTTTATACAAAAAGTTTAAAAAATTGTTGCGAAGTGATAAAGATTAAAAAATACGTAATTTGTGGCTTTACCTGGTTCTATTACTGCAAGCGGAATCCCAGCTCCACTCGTCTTCGGTGCAATAACGAAGCCGTCCATCCTTTGCGCAGCGTTGCGAACGTTCTAGAAATAAAAAAATAAAACTCAACTATTTTTAAGCAATTTCAGAAGTTTTTCGGGGGTGGGACAAATGCGATTTTTTTTGCGCACCTGGACATTTGCGCACCTTTTTTTTTGTTGGAAAAGGCCTTAGGAAAGGTCGTAGAGCTTCAAAAATATTTCCATATAAGGGAATCGTATGCATAGATTCCGAATTTCGACCAATCAGACCTCGCTGACACGTCAAATTTGGGCTAAAAGGCAAAAACTGCGGAAAAGCATTAAGTTGCGTAGTTTTTGCCTTTTAGCCCAAATTTGACGTGTCCGCGAGGTCTGATTTGTCGAAATTCGGAATCTACGCATACGATTCCCTTATATGGAAACATTTTTGAAGCTCTACGACCTTTCCTAAGGCCTTTTCCAGCAAAAAAAAAGGTCGCATTTGTCCCACTCCCTGTTTTTCATATTATTTCAGCTTATTTTAAAATATTTATCCAAATCTTTTCAATACTCACCACAAATGCATCCGCTTTGATCATCGGCGGAGTGTTGTTTGCCGATCGACTTGAGCTAAACATAATTATTGAACGATTTTAGGAAAATGTCGCTTTTGCAAGATAAAATTTTATATTATGACAAGAAAATGAATAAATTTTACCTAGGTTCTTGTGGCAAATTGACTTTCGGTCGCGGAACGGCAGCATTTCCATTTGAGTGGACTTTTGGTTGGGTTGTTGGTGGTGCCGGGGCGACACGGGCTGAAAATATAAAATGATTTTAACTTTCCGAGATAAATTAAGGTTTATAATATCCAAATTTATTTAGTATTCTAATACTCAGTAATCCAAAGCACCAATTGATGCTCACAATAAAATTCTACATCCTATAGCCTACGAATTCCACAGAATTTTGAATTTTTCTATAGATTCTATAGAATTTTGTAAACAAAACAACTTTATGCACATAATTTTAGTTTAGAGTTTGTTTTTAAAATCGCTATAAAAAATTGGCATACCTGGAATTGGCTGGTTCATCGATGGCACATAGAATTGGCTGCTTCCCACTTGTTGAACGATCGGTTGCATGAGAGTCGGCGTTGGGGCGACTTGACGAGTGGCTGGAAGAGAAATTTTTAAGACAAAATAAACATCTATAAATTTTCTACGGATCTACAACTTTAAAAAAAATTACTGCAAAACACACCACGAGAAAGTCTAACATCATCGAATGGATCCCTCATTGTTGGCGAAAGGGGAATGCCCTCGGAAACGGCGTTCGACGAGCTGGCTGGGGGTTTGCCTAGAAAAAAATATTGGTACTAAGGTAGTTAGGTGATTTTCTTGAATTTGGATTAACAGTATCCGGTGTATTGGTTTGATACCAGACCAAAAATGCAAACTGAGGGAGGCTATTAGATTTGAGGTACTATTAAGGTTAGGAGGGCACTTTTTTTTTTCAAAACCACTTTTTCTTGGGTAGTTTGATGCGTAGATTCCGAAAAACATAACGAGAGTTTGGGGAAAGACGTTTTAAGCTGAGTTTCGGGGCTTCAAAGTGCGCGCTCATACGCTCAAGATGTGAGCGATTCACATAAGGAAAAGGGTCTAAAAATGGTCTCTCAAAACATTTTTTAAAGCCAAAAACATTACTTCTGGGATAATTTAACCTATTGCTTACGTTTATGATCAAATTCGAGCAAAATAAAAAATTTTTTTCCGAATTTCGACCATGTGGTCAGCGTCAAAATCGGTCAAAATCGGTCAAAATTTTCAAAAAATATTTTTTCGATTTCTTTTGCCTCCATGAGTCAATTTATGTTAGAAAATGAATATTCAGTAGTTAAAAATGGTTTTGGCTCTAGTTTTGACCTTGAAAAGTGCCCCAAGTCGATAACTTGAGCTCCATATAGTGAAGTACACTATAGAACTTTGAAGAACTATAGTACACTATAGAAGCGCGCACTTTGAAGCCCCGAAACTCAGCTTAAAACGTCTTTTCCCAAGCTCTCATTGTGTTTTTTGGAATCTACGCATAAAATTACCCTAGAAAAAGTGGTTTTGAAGTGAAAAAAAAGTGGTTTTGAAGAAAAAAAGTGCCCCCGAACTGCCTTAGTACCAAACTATTTGCCTTCAATAATCAAAATGAAATTTGAATCTAGATCGTGTTATTTTCAAAGTGCTAACCTAAAAGCTTTCAAAGAACTCACTTGGCAAATTTGGCTTTGCTTTGTGCGGCGGCGGAAGGATTGAGTCGATAATTTGCGGAGCCGATCTGCAAATTGATTAGCAACTTAAATCTTGAATAATAATTAATGTAAAGTAGATAAAATTTATGCAAATTCGAATGAGTATTCTTGTTAATGCATCAAAAACGCTCAATTTTCGCTTTTTTTCCCTGAGCTTCAAAATGAACTTAAAATTAAAATTAGAATTTTGGCTAGGAAAGTTTGACAAAACAGTTCGATCTAGGTTAATGTATTGTCTTAGAAATTCAAAAGATGGAAGCGCAACACTATATTGATTAGCAACTTAAATCTTGAACAATGTACAGCAAATGTACCAAATGTACCAAAACTTTGTCTGTACAGCAAATGTACCAAAGCTTTGTCTACAGTTTGCTTGCAATATGCAAAAGAAGCTTGTATAAATCAAAGTACCAGTCTTATCTAAAACTCACGATGAATTCGGCTGCCCAACTACCGGATTTGTCAAATAGATCTTGTCAATGTACTCGGGATTTCCCCATCCTTTGCCATCTCGGATATCGCCGTGACCCGTGTGAATGAAAGAACCTATAAATAAATGCAAAAACAAATTATAATCTGGCTATTTACCTGCAATCGGCCTGGATATTTTCTGATTTCCATCTCTTCCCGTTTCGTTGGCCGACTTGACAAAGACCACGGATCGCATAAAGTTGCCAAAGCACCGCGTGCGCTCGCTTTGCCCAAACCACGTGACGCCACTGAAATTCTTTTATTTTTGCGATAAACTTAGCAGGCATTGAAAATTTTAGCTAGCTTAGCATTTTGGCTAGCAATTAGCTTTGCAACTCACGTATTTTCGATAATCTGCACTCGATCACCGATTCTCAGCTCAAGTTGTTGATCGTTTGCCGCTGGATGGGCCTCTCGTACTTCAGCAATGGAGAAACTTGCCTAAAAAATCGTGCTAATAGAAAATTATTTAAAGAAAATGATTTAAACAAAAGGTTTTAAAGAAAAGAAAACGCCATCATTGCTATTTACCTGTTTCAATAATCCCCACAACATTTTGAACTTCGGACGAGCATCGGGATTCGATTTCCAGCAGAGATCCATTAAATCGTAGACTTGTTGAGAGCAAAATCTTGGTTTCGGCAACCGCTCACCGGCATCCGTTCTCTCCAGAACCTGGATTGATGAAAAGTTTTGATAGTTAGCTTTTCAAAACTCACATCTCTTCCCCTCAATCCAGCCCATGGATCCTCACCAAACGAGTAGATTTCCCACATCAGCACACCCATTGCCCAAACATCGGATGCGTGGGAGAATTGACGGAAACGGAGGGATTCGGGTGGGCACCTGAATTGTAATTTGATTAAACCATACAGTCCTGAGTAGGGAAGAGCACGAACTCAAGGTGAACTTTTGCCTGGGCTTCTAGTGCACTTTATAGAGTCGGATATGAGGAATCCGAATCTGAAATCGAAATCTCCCAAATGACTTTCCAGGTGTGTACAAATTCAATCGAAAATTTTGTGTTAGAACGGAGAAGGTCTTCCGTTGCGGAAAAGGTCTTCCTAGTGGGCTCCTTGCTTTAAAGCGCTCTTTCCTAACCGGGAAATGGTGCGTTGGTGACATAGTGGATCGTGTAACTTCCTCCCACGGCGTCAGGGTTTGGTCCCTCATGTAGCTTTTTTGTTTTTCTTTCGAAGCAACTTCTAGCTTTTTGCAACTAACTGCATTCTTCTCCTTTGCTGATTCCAAAAGGGAAGCATCTATACCAGACAGGTTTGCCAGATCGAGGGCGGTTATGCGGTCTCCACAAAGAACACCTCGCCAGTCATTTACATAAGAATTTCTCTTTTGCTTTGTTAATGGTACAAAAAGAAGATATTCAGCTGGAAATTTGTACCCAGGGGTTTTCAGGGTCGGGGACTCGATTGGAGCTATTCATTTTATTAGGACCGAAGTTCGGGGAGCGGTAAGTTTGTCAAGTGAGCCGAACCGGAGTCGCGGAAAGCCCGGATCACAAATTCCTGGTTTTAATGTGTTAAATTACTATTTAGAATCTAATCTCAAAGTCTTATTTTGATGCTCACCACGCGAAGGGCACTCGCTTCTGTGGATTCATAATGTAGAGTCGCTCATTTTCCTCTAAACTTCTCATCAAGCCAAAGTCGCAGATTTTCACGGTCTATAAATTGATAATATATAATATAAAAATATAAAACATAATATAATGCTGACTAGTAATATAATGCTGACTAGTTTAACATTTTCTTCTTTCACAAACCCTTTCATCCACCGATAGCAGAATGTTCCTCGCTGCGAGATCTCGATGTACACAATGCTTCATTTCTAGAAAGGTCATTCCCTTTGCGATCTGAAATCAATCGGATATTTTGTTGCTTTCAACTGTGATAAGTTTTAGTTTAAATCTTAATTTTAGATCATGGAGTCTAATATAGCAGTATGTTCTCCACAAAATGATTCTTCGTAACTTCTAAACGTTCGGGATCACAGGTTTGAACTACCTGACTTCACTATCAGTCTTGTATTGTAAAAAATTTCGCTTGGATTTGGCTGGCATTAGAGCGGAAGCCCAGGGTTCGAAAGATCCGAGTATTTCACCTTTCTTCCTCTTTTTCTTCCTTTCTTTATCTCTTTCTTCCTTTCTTTCTTCCTTTCTTTCTTCCTTTCTTTCTTCCTTTCTTTCTTCTTTCTTGTCTTTCTTATTTCTTCTTGGGAGAAGCAGAAAGCTTAGTGATATCTGCCCGATAAGCAGAAGGTCGAGTGTTGAATTCCCCCTCGGTTTCAAATTCTCTACTTTATTTCTCTACTTTACTTCATTTAGCTACTTTATTACTGTGTTTTGTTTGAAAAATTCGAACCTGTTGCGAGAAATCGAGCATTTGAGAAACGAGAAGTGGCGGTTTCTTTCGATTTCTCAACCGATCCAATAGTGATCCGCCTTCGCATAGTTCGAAAACCTGGAATTGTAAGACTTTGTCAAAAAATCATTGCTCAAGCTTTCTAAAACACTTTGACTTTGACTTTTCATACTTTGAAATGCAAAGTATTTTGTCATTTTCTTCTCAAAAATGTCTTCTTATTAGTAGCTCAATACTTTCGTATTTCGTAATTGTCAAATTCATACTTTTGAAATATTTTTCTACTTTAACATGTAAAATCGTTTTGTAAATTTCTTCTCCTTGAATAAATCACTGCATAATTCTTGCCCATCCCTGCAAAATATGGCTTTCATCGTCTCGAGGCAAAAAAGGGAAACTCTTCGGTGAGAGAAATTCTCTGAAGAAGAAACGCCAAAAAGGAGGAGGAAAACAGCAAAGGAGTGGCTGATTCACTTTCTTATGTTGTGCTTTTCGTTCCACATGTGTAAATGGAAAAAAGGGGGACTGAAAAGGAGAGAAGTAGTGGCGGCGGAAATCGACCGGTCGCTCAGCTTCCTCCAACTCACAACAATACCGGTCTCCCGGAATTCATTTAGCGTTTATGGGGTGATTTCGTTTATGGATAAATAGCGGATAAATGGCGGATAAATGGCTTAAAAACCTTTCAAAAACTTATCCAAAAGAAAACAAGTTTTCCCAGGTCAACTAATGACAAGATTCACAAGTCGGTTCGATTTTCGCACGATTCTCCACCAGGCTGTCCCAAAAGTTCTTATACTTTTTGTAAACGAGCAGTTTGACTCGGAAAACGATCTGTTTTTGAAAAACTAACGCCGGATTATGAAAATTTAGATATTTTTACCTTTACTATACTTTTTTTTTGCTTAAAAGTTGTATCTCTAAACAACTTTTTGATGAGGATGATCAAAAAAGCTTTTAAGGTTTGGGTGCCCTTCGTAAAATCGCTTGAAAATCTTTCGTTTTTGAGATATAAAGTTTGTTTGTGGCTTGTTTTTAAGAAAACATGTTGGTCTATCAAATGATAGCAACAGTTTTTCGAAGAGATCTCATTGTGCAAAGTTTAGGTCAACTTTTGCAAATCTTCAACGGCGAGACCCGGATGTAAAAAGTCTTAGTCAAAAAGTCTGTTGAAAGTTGAAATCTTTTCATGAAAATGGGCATATTAGGGTAAAAATATCTGAATTTTTAGAATCGGGTGTTAGTTTTCCGTAATTCATGTGTTTTTCATGTCAAAAAGTTACTGCTTACGGAAAAAGTAGAAGAACTTTTCGAAAACCCTATATTAGCCTGGAAATTCGTTATCAACTATATAAAAAAGTAAAAATAATGTTATGAGCTATGAAAAAGTTATCAAAGATGAAGTTATTAAAGATAAAGTTAAAAGGAAAAAGAGGAAAGAAAGTTATAAGCCTTTAAAGTTTATCTTGACACTCAAAAATAGCCTAAACATTAAATCATCAAGTTTTGAAAGTAAAGCTTGCTTGCAGTAAAGCTTGCTTGCAGTAAAGCTTGCTTGCAGTAAAGCTTGCTTGCAGTAAAGCTTGCTTGCAGTAAAGCTTGCTTGCAGTAAAGCTTGCTTGCAGTGAAGCAAGCTTGAAGTGAAGCAAGCTTGAAGTAAAATTAGTTAACAGAGTTGCTAAAGATTTTGTTTATTTGGAAATTGTTCGAGTTTCAGTTTAATTGCTCGCTTTTCTTTTTCATAACTATACAATTTCTCAACAAATAGCTCTCTTTTCAGTGTCAATTTTGTTGGTCACTTTGGCTTTATCAGAGAGGAACGGAGAGCAGTGAATTCTATCAGAAAAGATGGATCGAAAATCGATTTTTCTAAAAGCCATCAATTTTTGGATGATTTTTCAAAAGATTGAGTCATTTTTTTGGTCATGAATTTGATATCAGAGAAGTTGCGGGGGGTGATGAGTCATGTTGAGCACGAAATATTGGCGTTACGTATTCAGAAATGATCTTTACGAATGTAAACAAGTTAGAAAGCTTAATTTTCATGATTTAAACCTTTAAAATCTTTAAATCTACACGAAATTGCTGCAAAATTGTAATCTTAAACTTTCTCGAAACAGCTAAAACAGTTACTTTTTGATACAGTCTTGAAACAGTCAAAACGGTTACTTTTTGGCTCTCAAATCAAAGTAATGATGGGTTAAGTATGCCAGAAAACGTGTGTTTCTATATGGAAAATATGTGAAAATGTTCTGTGATATGTTCTGTGGGCAAAACGTACAAATTAAGATAACAACTGAAAAGCTTAATCGCTATCATTCAAGTCAAATTCAACCCAATTCGTTACTTAGAGCAAACTTTGTAACAAAATGTAAGCACTCAAACTTTCATTTTTTTTAATGATTTTGTATTCTAAGAAGTGTGCATTCATTTACAATACAAAAGCCTATTCTACCCACCATCCAAGTCGCATCCGACACCACTCCGTACAATCGAATGAGATTCGGATGGTTCAACTTCTCCAAACTATTCACTTCCTTTTGCAGCTCTTCCATCACCAGCGGAGAAGCATCTCTGAAAAATTCAGATAGCCTTTGTGGTTCAAATATGGTTCCAATATGGTTTCAATATGGTTCCAATAAGGTTCTAATAAGGTTCCAATATGTTTCCAATATGGTTCCAATATGATTCCAATATGGTTCCAATATGTTTCCAATATGGTTCCAATAAGGTTCCAATAAGGTTCCAACAAGGCCAAAATGGTTCCAATAAGGTTCCAACAAGGTTCCAATATGGTTCCAATAAGGTTCCAATATGGTTCTTATATGGTTCCAATATGGCTCCAATATGGTTCCAATATGGCTCCAATATGGTTCCAATATGGTTCCAATATGGTTCCAATATGGTTCCTATATGGTTCCAATATGGCTCCAATATGGTTCCAATAAGGTTCCAACAAGGTTCCAATATGGTTCCAATATGGTTCCAATATGGTTCGGATACGGTTCCAATAAGGTTCCAATAAGGTTCCAATATGGTTCTTATATCGTTAAAATATGGTTCCAATATGGTTCCAATATGGTTCCAATATGGCTCCAATATAATATTCAATTGCTTTGCCAATGTAAAAGTACTCTTACCTGAGAATTTTCACAGCCACATCCAACTTTCGACCGTCGTGCGTCGTCCAAAAGGCTCGCTTCACAACGGCGAAAGTTCCCTCACCCAATGTGTCCAATAATTTGATCTGAAAAGATATTGATAGAATTTACATAATGATTTAAAGTAAATAAACTTAAGGAATATCAAGTTAACAGTTTTAGTAGAAGCCATGTGGATAAAAGAAAATGAAATGGTGCTTTTGAACAAAAGTTATCAGCTCTTACCGAGATCTATCGAGTTCTAAAACGGTTTTGGGGAAACGAATTGAAGTTAAAAAGACTTAAGAGAGATTTTAGCACTTAGCAGCATTTTAGAACAAGTTAAAAGTTAATTGAAGTAAAGTGGAATAAACTAAAAAGTAAAGTGGAATAAACTGGGATTGCCTTTTGACTTTTGTTTTTATATAACATTAAAAATATAATCTAGAGAATCGACAGCCAAAACCCTACCTGATCTTTCTTGATCGAGCTGGTGCCCGGTTGTGAGATCTCTGGTGGAAGGCCGGTATCATCCGGTGGAACAACCACGGTTCTCACATCTCTCTCCGGAAATCTTCTCATCTCGTGTTTCTTTTGAACTAAACTTTCACGAAGTCGTCGAATGGCCGGCAATGAAAGACCGATATTCTGGAAAGTGATCGATTGAAGGCGCTGAAAGAGCTGAAAGATAAGGGTTTTTAAGGGCTGCTTTGCCCAGCCCAGCTCTCTGTCAAAATTATAAAAAATGGATCGGAACAAAATGTTTTGCATCTTTCAATGTTTGTTTCTTTCAATCTTTCAATGTTTGTTTTATTCTTGAGCTTATTCTAAACTTCTCAAAATTCTCAATTCTCTAAATCACCTGTAAATCCCGATCATTAACATGATCAAAGTGATCAAGCTTTGTCAACTGGAGATCAATGCAAATTTGTCTCCGAAATCCTTGCAAATCGGCTTCAGTGAGAACCTGGAAGTTTGATTGCAAAAAAATTCTCACATTTGTTTACTTCAAAGAGTGATTGATCGATTCGGAGACCGGTCACCATTTCATGTCAGAGAAGAGGGGAAAAGCTGAAAGAATGGATTGACGAATTGATCAAGAGAATGATAAAGAATTGATGAATTGATCGAGAGAATGATAAAGAATTGACGAATTAATGGATAAAGAACGATAAAGAACGAATAAAAAGAAATCATCGAATGAAAACGGAACGAAAAAACTTGGTTAAGACGGGCAAAACTGTCATTTGATACAGCGATGATTAGATCAGAACAAATAGAAGCTCAACTCTCATTTAGGAGAATTTTTTGCAAACGCCATTGAAATCTTCATATCATCAAGCATTAGATTGGCAACTTTCAAACTTCCGCTCACTTTTTTTTATGATTTTTTTGAATTTCAAAAGAATGGGATCCAGGACTTGCGCCAAAGATGGAAAAAAGTCATTGATAAAGGCGATGATGACAAATTTCTTTTGGATTAAAGTTCTCTATTTTGTTTTTTTGTGTAATAAACAAGCTGTTGCCTAAAACGGAAGTTAGAAAGTTGTCAACCCAATACTTCAGAGACTTCAAAACCAAATTACTACCTAACCAGGGTTATTCCAAAAGTAATCTTTCCCGGATCAGATCAAAAAAGGTCATGGCCAAGCCGGAAACTAAATCCAGCCTGACTTGACTGCAGATCTGGTCCACGAAAATATCTCTGGGCTTGCCAGAAGGTAGGCTTTCCCCAGGCTTTGCCTTGCCATGCCTCACAGGTCGTAGGATGTCCTGTACTTAACCATAAAAACTATAAACATCTTGTATACTTAACTATAAAAATCTTGTATTCGAATCCTGTACTTAAACATAAAAAAATCTGTAGTTTATTGTCGTTAATCTAAATTCTGTTTAACTCTGTATCAAAACTAGATTAAAATATATTTACTCCATAAACGACTTCAACCAGTTTACGAAATCTCGCAAAAAAAGCGCCAAACTTGTTGAGCAAACAAGAACTTATCGATTCGGGAATAGGATAAGAAAGAAAAAAAGAACACCTTAAAAAAACTGCGAAAGTGGTCTAAACTTTGTTCTAATGAAATTTAAAGTATGTTTTTTTTGTTTAACACTACTTGTTTACTACAAAAGGCACCTAAAACTTATCAGTTTTTTGGTCAAACTCGATAAGAACATCTAAGAACCTAAAGAAAAGCTTTCACAATGGTTTTAAACGAATTCTGATGACACATAGGGTTCAAAGGGTGATTCGTTGATGAGAAAAAGGTAAAAGAGAATGAAAAGAATGGTAAGAAGAAAGATGAAAGACATGCCATCGCCCACAGTCTCTTTTTTTTCCTCTTTTCTTTTCCATTTTAATGACGTCACCTCCCCGAATCAGGTAAACAAACACCCCGGCGCAACCGTTGCAAATCTGAGATCACAAGATTTCTCTTTGTTTCAAAGAAAACAATTGATTTAAGATAGTTTGAGGAAATTTGAGGAAATTTGAGGATTGTAAATTGAAAGTTTAAATCTTTATGATACTTAGAGAATATCTTTTGTAAGAATTGAGCCACAAGACCAGAAGAGGGCAGAGACCATTCTCGGGACTCAGAGATCCAGTGGAAGTGATTGAGAGAAAAAGACTCAGATGGGCCGGCCACGTAGCCAGAAGAACAGACCACACCACCACCACAACGAAACTTCGAACCAGGACAACACCCCTTTTTAAAAAAAACCTTTTTTTTTAAACCTTCCTTTTCATTTATTTTAACCTTTTCACCTTAAATGATCATTTTTTTAAAAAATTTCATTTTTTAAATTTCTTCAAAAACCAAAGCCAAACCCCTCGACAAACACTCGATTCCTCTTTTTTTTTTTTTTTTTTCAAGATTTATTCTTTTCAAATTAAATTCACTTTCCTTTCTTTTTTTTTTTTTAAAATTTTTTTATTTTTTTTACCCCTTTTTCTTTTTTTTAAAAAAAAAAAGAAATTATTTTTAAAACTTTTACTGTTTACAACATTTAAGACTTTTGGTTTTGAACCTTGAAAAATGATTTTAATGAAAATCAATTATTAATCAATTATTCTTTTTAAAAGCTTCACTCTATTAAAAAAATCCAATGAACTATTGGAAAAGAGCCGTTTACAAAATGCATTAACAGTAAGTAAGCTAAAGTATAAAAAACAGCCAGCAAAAGTTTAATTTTAAGAAAAATTATGTCATTATTCTTTAAAAACTCTACAAACCAAGGAAAGCAATAACTTTTACAATCAAAGCTTACAATCAAAACTCGGGTAGGAACGCGTAGATGAAAATGGGGTAAGGGGAAAAGAGCGTGCGGGCAAACACACGCAATCCAGTCAGTCTGTGGCTTGGGGGCGTCGAACAGGTGGGGAAAAGAAAAGGAATTGGAAGAAAAAGAAGAGGCAAAGAAAATGGAGAAGAGGACAAGAAGGGCACACGGCACTCCCCTCCAGTTCCCCAGTCTCTTCAGCTAGCACTTTATTCTCTTGGCTCTGCCTGTTATTCACATTCTTTTCCCCCGATCCTCTGTGTGTCTCACTCTCGGAAAGCCGTTGGCTACAGTTGAAAAACGATGACAACTTTTAGTTTGCCAGCGGAGATTAGGCTATAGATGCAGCATGAATTTTGTTAGTATAAAAAGTAAAATAAAAGAGAAAGAGGATATTTATTGAGTTGAGTGTTTGATATGTCAAATCGAATCTTGATATATATCATCTACAGTAGCCTAGATTACCATACAGTACTGCAATACTCTTACAGTACCTTACAGTACTTCTTTACAGTACCTATTACAGTACTGCAATGATCTTTACAGTACCTATTACAGTACTGCAGTGATCTTTACAGTACCTATTACAGTACTGCAATGATCTTTACAGTACCTATAGCAACTGTGTAAGCGTCAGGCCGAGGATTTCAGAGGCAGGCTTGAGTCCCTCTTGAATCCTTGAATCCTTGAATCTTGAAATCACCATGCATTCCATAACCATTGCATTCCAATAAAGTAAAGTAAAGAATGGCAAAGCAAGATTTCCAGAGATGGGATTGAACCCGGGCTTTTCTGCTTTCCTTGCTTTTTACAAACTTCTACATTTCTGCTAGAATGATAGAAATGATCTTACCATTCAGCTATCCGGTATTTTCTTGCTCGAGAAGAAAGAGGAAATACAAAGGAGAAAGTACAAATAATGAAATACAAAGACAAAAAGTTTTGTTCGCATTTTTAAAGGTTACTTTTTAAAGTGAACCAAAAAACAGCCACTAGCCAAATAGCATCGGATTCAATCCCGTAAACTTGGTAGGAATTGGTGATATTGATAAACCGACAAAGCTGGAACAAAAAGTTCTCGGACTCTTTTCCAAAGTAAACTGTTACGGATGTAGCACAAACTTGAAACAATTTGTATTGGTGTAAAGAAATATTCTTTTTGTGCTTGGTACTCTTCACTCAAGACACGTTATTTCTTGTTTTGAGATATCTGATCTCTCTTGAACTAAAAAAAGCACTTTATTCAATAGCCGATTGATTCGGAATCTTTGGGCTCTCACTTGAGCAACTTTCACACAATATCGACAATTGAATTAAAGTGACGATAAGAACAGAAGCAATTTCGTCCTAATTAGGACACAACTTTCACACAAAATCTGAGGAAAGCAGAAAAAAAACAAATGAAAGATAACAAAAACAAATGAACAACAGTTGCCTTATATAGGCTTTAACACAAGATACTCAGCTAACAAGCTACAAAACAATAAATGATTTGGGGCGCGAAATAAAATGAAGGCGCACCGATTTCCTCAATATTTTTCCAATTTTTAGGCTGTCAGAGTTAACTTTTAGTGGCTATTCGCCACACTCCGACCTCCAAAATGATTCAGAGTTTACTCTGGATTCTCCCCGCAACGCAAAATGTGAAGCGGAAATTTGTTCTGCGACAATCTTAACAGAGAAAGTTTAAATTTTTTGAGGAAACCTTGTGCACGAGGAATTTTGTAGGGAAGGATTTAAATCTTGAAAAAGAGCAAATTTTGAACGAGGGGTAGGGGACGGGAAAAGACAACAACTAATATTTGGATGAAGATTGATTCTTGATCATTTCGATTCCAAGCTTTTCACAGAAAGCCACATGATGTCGACCGCTGCAATGGCTGCAGGTGATGATCGACTTGTTGCAGGGTCCCGGATGCTCTTTTAAGCAGTTCTTCGAGATTTGGCATATTCTGTTCATTGTCGCGATCCTCATTCTGTCAAAATATTCCATCTTCATTGAACACTTGACTATGTCTCTGCAGGTCTTGGTTCCACAGAAGATGCAATCTTTTTTCACGTGACGTTGAGTGTTAGTTGTTATTACTTTTCGCTTCATGGGTGGTTCCTCTGAATCGTTCAAGTCCTCAATCAGCTCTCGCCTCAGCTTATTGAGCTGTTGATTGATTGTTTCTTCAATGTTCTCCTTCCATTCGACGAACATCTCCCTCAAGTCGTCTTTGATTGAGGCCGAAGTGGCAAGTGTCTCCGTGAAAATAGCGCTCGATAGCTTGTCCGTTGTTTCGTTGATCATCGACGTGATTCCCAAAAATTTTCCACGACGAGCGCAAAATTTTCTCAGACTTTCTAGAAACGTGCTGGTTCGTAATGAATCTACAATTTCTAGGTGAATATTCCTTGTACACACACATGTGAACAAAACGATCCATACGTCTATTTCGACGTCTAGTGCTGAGTCGTAGATCAATACTGGACCCATGTAATCTATTCCGGTATTCTCAAATGGCAAACTGCGATTTGTTCGAATCTTTGGGTAAGGTGCCCATGCCGGTTGCTTGTATGGGAGCCCGTTAAAATATTTGCACAAGACGCATCTTTGTGTGACTTTTTTGACTTCTTGCCGCCCTTTGTAAATCCAAAATCTTTGACGAATGCTTGCTAATGTTGAGGCAGTGCCTGCATGACCCATTTGTTTGTGGTGATGCCTTATGAGTAGTGTGCAAAAATGGCTATTCGGCAAAATTGCAATTGGTTTTGAATTTTG